GCGTTCGTGCTGTGAGTTTCTTTGCCCCACCCCATCCCTTTTAGCTTCCCCCGCCAATCACCATCTCCTTCCGTAGCGTAATATAATTTTACATAATAAGTTTTCTTTTGCCTAGTAGCCGGCTAGTAGCTTACCGGAACGATGCCTATCAGTTGTTGGTAGCTCAGCTGGCACGCAACTGTTGTATTTATTTTCCTTTTCCTTTATACATTGCGGCATAGTAGCTGAGGTGTTTCCCGCCTCTAACTAACGTGTATGATGATGATGATGACTGGCCTCGCCATCTATGTTGGTAAATGGCCACATTTTGTCGGGCCATGAGGGACGCCGATACGTCAGTTAGGGAGAAGAATTTAACAAAATAATGTAGGAATTTGACAGAGGGATGGATACATGCTATACTAACCTAATTTCCGTGCTGTCATCTTGTACAAACTTAGCGCAAGTAACATCACCCATATCCAAGATGCTGGAATAAAGCTCATTCTTCTTTTGATCCACGATGAAAAGCGTAACACGCTCCGCTTTGACAAGCTGTTTGGCGTGTTCCTTTGAAGCAGGGAGAAAGGAAGTAGGAAGGAAGAATTAATATCGTTAACTGCTAAGACCATCGTATATTGGGCAACTGGAAGATAACTGAGAGGCAATCAGGTTTACGCCAGTGGTTTTATAGGACATTATTGGGTAAAATAAGTTGTGAAATTCTCGGGAAGTGCCGACGATTCAGACAAGTTATCAACTGGCCGGCCATGAGCCAACTCACGTGCCTATAGGGTCATTGCTATGTGAACGTGTCATTACCAATTATCTCTTCTTTTGCTCAGTGTACAGTAGCATAAACAAACGAGATCACATTGTAGTGGAAGATGTCCAACGAACATTCACAATGCGTATTTGAGGTACCGCATCGAACTTAGTATATTATGAACGATGTGAGAAATATAAATTCGATCCCAAGTGGTTGAGGCGAATGAAGCACAACCTAATCATATTCTTTAATGTTCTGCAAATAAAGTTGCATATTTCCAACCTTAACATGGCCATAACGCAACCATCATTACATAACACACAAAATATAGAAAATTCTGCAGTTGAATGCGGGACGATGACCACCGAATAGGATACTATCTTCATTAACAGATATACCAGAATCTAGAACAAATTCCCATATGAAAAAAGGCTTACAAATCAGAGCACGATTTTCGCAAATATTTATCCGTGCAAAATCTGGTCTACCTATTGAGACGTCACATAGCAAATATGAAAGCACACAAACGATGCAAAGCACTTCTATGATCCAGAAAAGACTCTATAACTGTGTAAAGATTGCAGTAGGAAGGCCACTACACTCACTGTCTTTGTCTTCTACACGGTTATGCCAACCAGAATGTTGCATACACGTATATGTCTCGAAGGGATGGGAAATGCTTCCTAAATTAGGAACAGATCAGCATATACAGAAATGGCCATGCTCTTGCACGAGTGCATGCTGACAACAATTCGTAGCCCTTTAGATTTTTTTTGGGCCATCCTGGAATATTTCTACAAGTGAGCTGTCGGATGAGAACATGGATGATAACACTTACGGAAGTCAGAGTCAAACTTGATGTTCAATGCCCGGGCGGTCACAGCATTTCACACTCCACCGAAGCTCCAGCTTTTCTTTGACCTGGTTCTTCATTCAGCCTCGCAGCGTTCAATGTTCGCACTATGATGCAAATCGAACGGCAAGCATGCCTGACCCGCACTCTTGAGACTCTCTCGGTAGACATCTGTTGCCTCTCAGAAACTAGATTGCATAAATCCATTACCGTCATCAGAATGGTTTCGCCTGCAAACCCTGACGTCATATACTATTTGCGCCTGTCCGGCGACCCAGAGCATGCCGCTTCTAGCCAGCTGGGGTTGGGGTTACTCCGAGTGACAAGACCGAGTCCACTCAGCTTGCTTAGAGCCCAGTCAACTGTCGGCTATGTGCAGCTAGACTTCGAGGTTCATGTAAGTTAAGTAAGCGTCGAGATGATACACACGCTTTATTTGTCGTTTCCGTCTTCGTAGCCCGGATGAAGTCAAGGATTGGTTTTACAAACAACTACATGACCTTTTGCGTTCCGCTAAAAGTCTGCTATTGTTATCCTTGCGGAAGACTTAATGCACGAGTGGACCGCCAGGAGAGCACCATCTTTGGGGTAGTGCAGGCTCCGGTAACAACAGGTCAGACAATGGAGACAGACTACTGCCAGTTTATTATGATCAGCGCCTATTTGTTTTGAGCACCAGTTTTCGACACCCGAAGACACAGACTGCTACCCAGCGCACGTATTCTCAAACACAAGAGCGGTCCCAGCTTGACCACATCGTGATAAGCTACATATGGCTTGGAAGTGTATAAGACTGCCGTTCGCATTGGTCAACTTGTCCGGACCCCGATCACGCATTGGTTCGCGTTAAGTTATGCATGCGTTCCGGAGGACCGCCTAGGCGTAAACATTACAGAACTGTGATGGGAGTATACACTCGAACGAACGTGCGGTGCCAGCCCAGCAAGGAAGCCGTTAGGTTGCCGCAAGGAAAGGCGGCAGCTGATTGGGACGTTCACACGTTTCTCGCATGAACGCTGATTGGCCAACAGTGGACGCATTGGAGTGAGTTTGTTTGACTGAATCAAAGGAAAAATGTCATGCATTCACAAAGGTCGTTAATTATGGATCCAACTAGCTGTATATACCGATATGTTTCACTCGCCCTCTGCCTGCGTTTTCGCCTGGTCCGTTGTTTGCAGAATATACGTTTTTGTCCCTGAAGGACCGACTTTTTACAGGACCGAGCGTAGAAAACCTACAAGACCCTACGACGCTAGCCGACTAAAAGATCTCCCTGTCAACTCTGCTTACCCCAGCTTCTGATGATGATCTGGATTCCCAGTGGATGCGCAGCGAAAATGCTTTAGTTTCTGCCAGCATTGATAGTCGCGGAGCCATGCATCACCCGCCGAAAAACTGAATCACTAATGTCTCCTTGTCACGGATGGACAGACGCCGCTATGTTCCACCCGAATCTAGATGTAATGAAGAACGATGATCCCTAGATAGAGAATTGCGCAGGAGTCTACTAAAGTACCGTGAAACCTGGTGGAGTGAACATGCTAGAGAGATGGCATTTGCTAGTCTTTCTGGCAATACCAGAAAACCTTTCCATCTTATACGAACCACCGAAGGTTTCCGATCTAGGGTAAGCGAATCGAACTGCGAAGAGGACAGCTCACTAACTATTAATTTTCAACGACGGTTAGAGCGATGGGCTGCACACTGGCTAGCAGCTTTGCTGGCCACAACCCCCAGCTGCTTCCCTTGAAGCGCTCACTGGTGCTGGATGGTCTGTCCCCACAGATCTTCATCCACACCAGGAAATCTGGTGGGAACAATACTTCTTGCAGCGCTATAAAGCACTGGGCCGTGATGGCCTACCCCTCGCGCTATTTAAAGTTGCAGGCCATTCGATGGTTAGAGAACTTACTGCTTTGTTTTCAGAAATCTGGCTGAAAGAGGCAGCTCCATCATCTTGGGATGAGTCGATAGTTGTCCCCATCTTCAAAAAGAGGCTGTGCACAGTGTGTTCCAACTATAGGGGTATCAGCTTGGTTCCGCCGTTTGTAAGGTTCTGGTGTCCAGCATACTTCGAAGGCCATCTCCAATGCGCGAATCGCTACAGGGAGAATAACAGGTACGGTACCGCCCTGGTCACGGCTTCATCGATCAAATGTTCACACTACGCCAGACCCTCCAGCTCCGCCATGTGTATGAAAAACCAACAATTGTCGTGTTCCTGGACATCCGCCCTGCCTCCGATTCTGTCGATAGGTCTGTATTGTGGCCCTGTTTGTTAAGGAATCGCATCCCGGAAAGTTTGTTTCCGTACTACGTGTTAGTACACTCTGATCTGGTAGAGTTAGGGCTTATGGCAAGCTTTCGCCTTCCTTTGTTGTCACTACTGGAGTCCGACAAGGATTCTCTATCTCCCCATTTCTTTTTCACTTTTGCCATTGAGGTTGTCCTAAAGACTACTCTGGATAATTCGTTGTGCGCTAGTGTTGAGCTCCTCCCGGGTAGATGAGTCATTGATCTGGACTACGATGATAATACCATCTTGCTGGGTGACGATTCACACGCAATCCAACTTACACTCAAGCGCTTAGCGATGAAGCGTCAAAGTATGGGATGGCTTTTTCCCCATGAAAATGTAAGGCATTTTTCCAACACTCAGATGCCTGTACTTGCACTCCCTCTTGGTGGTGAGGTACTGGAGGTTACGAAGAGTTTTGACTAAATGGGAAGTTGCATCACAGCCAGTGGAGCCATTGGATACGAGATTTCGATGCGTATATCAAGAGATCGCCTCACTTTCACTAAGCTGAGGCACTAGCGGATCCTCTATAACATCCGTCTATCCATCAGAGGGCGGATTTGTTTTGAGACTGTCCGCGCTGTACTGTTGTACGGTTCCGAGGCTTGGCCTGTTCGTACCGGTGATCAGCTCCGTCTCTCTGTCTTGGAGCAGCGTTGCGTGTGGCCCATTGACTGTGTGTGGTGGCAGCATCATGTAACCAATGTGGGAGTTAGACAGCGTGTCTTGGGTGGAGACAGCCCCTCGCTTGCGGAGCTCGTTGCCCAGCATCAGTTGCGGTGGATTGGACACATTGTGCATGCCCGCTCAGTGTCTTTCGTATCGGTTGTTGTTGGCGGTTGCTGGACAGGACTGGATGAGAGGGCGCTGTGGACAACCTATGACACGGAGAAGCCACATGAAAAGTTGGCAAAAATCATGGCCTCGGTCGGTCGTTCTTGATTTCTTGGTTGGGATTTCAGATATACAGAGTGTCGCTTGTTGGAGACCCTAGGAATAACGGCTCAGAACCGACGTCAACGACGGCGGTGTATCATTGTGTGATGCGGTGATTTCCCTTCAACTAACCAATAAAGCAAACAATTAAAAAAGACTCAAAAAACGGTGAGTGAAAAACTACTGAAAAACTACTTCCTTTCGTATCCTTTTTTCTTATTCCGTCATGATTCTGATGGCACACTATCAGTACCATGTATATATATAATATATATATATATATATATATATATATATATATATATATATATATATATATATGATTCGGCGAGATAAGTACAACCAAAACTGCATGTCAACGTCCATAACTTACGACTTTTCCGGGTCGATGAGGCTCCTCCTTTGACTCAGGTAAATAAACGGTGAATAACACACACGAATGTTGGCCAATCTGTGTCTAGTAATCGAACCCGTTACGCTCGTCTCCCATTCGCTGCCTAGCTTGCTCGGTTGGTCCACCCGTTTACTCTGATATGGCACTCCTATCACAGGCTCTACGATATCAGTAAGCTCTCACGTCCTCACTAGCGCAGTTTCAGTCTGAGAAACTGACCCGAAAGAAGAGTCAGCTGGTCGAATAAGTCGTCGTCTCTTCGCATCATCGATTTATGTACCTTATGCGGTTTGGTGATTGCAGTGGCCCACTGTTACAAATAGTACACTTTCGGAAATGTGCTTATGTGCTACCTTGGGGCGTCGTTCATTGTTTTGCACCATATGACTTCATTCGTTGTACACATTTTTGGTAATTATTCATTTTTTTCGCCTTCCTCCTATTTCGAATCCATTTTCAAAACAACGATTTTGAGCTTCCTTCTATTTGATTTCTACAACAGGTTCATGCATAAGTTCACATAGAGACCAGCTGCAGTTAGTATTATCGGTTGTGTGGCATTCAGACGACACTCCAAATGCATTTCTCATATAAACATTTAACTGATAAATTGACTACTGGGATCATGTTAATGCACATCATATAGTCAGTCACGTTTTGAATTCGAGTTTCTTAACAATGAATGTTATGGATGCTTATTTTCCAAATTTATTGGGTGGTTTCACTAAAGATCAATTCCACTAGCTAGATTGCAGAAATGGCGAATACTGGGAAAAACTGAGCAACATTATCATGTGGGCAAAAGGTGAATAGTTTGTCTTATCATAACAGCGGAACATGTTCAACTTACCATTATTGACTTGATGACGTTGTCCATGTTTTTTATTCGACTAAAGAAGTTCCTGTAATAATATACCTTTTTCGACTCAGTGAGTTTACCTTACGACTTCTAAAATGAAGTCACTTAGGCGCTGGGCCCTCTCCGACACATCCAGCTTCTGAGTAGAAGAGTGGGAAACAGTAGTTGTGAGACAGTTTGTAACCATTACAAGAAACGAGCAAAGAGCAAGCAAAATGCCAACCAAAGAGAACTTGTTAATGAATGCGGTTCCTTCTCAGCTACATCGAAGTTAGGACGGTGTGGACTCCAGTGGAGGATACTTGATGTCGGCTGTGTCTTCGTTGTAGCTAACTGGACCGACTCGTTAGTGTAGTTTTTCCACACCCGTTTTTGCTCCGACTGATGCTCATCCCTGGATGTTATGGAACGGAATCACGGGGGAATTGCAGCCTTACCAAGGCACCAAGATTTGATGAGGTGATCGAATCAATAGGGTATTGAGACATTTACACTTGGTAATTAGTTATGAAATGTACCCAATATTAGTGTCACCCATAAGCAAGAGCAAAACTGACATATGCAACCTTAGACTAGGAGGTATCTATCGAAACCAGCTAGCAAAGATCATTGAGAATGTTATACATAAAACAGGACTACATCGAAACAGGTCGAACCTAACGCACCACATTTTCTAGGAATGCGAGAGGGGTTCAAGCTAAATCGGTGTAATCTGTCAAAGAAAAAGAAGACTTATACGCTTCGAAATAAAGCGTGTTATTCCGACAATACTGCGAACTATGTAGTCAGTGCAAAGGGTTATGGATGAGTTGTGGATTAGAGCTTTAGATACACTCGAAAGTTACAACTTAGGCGGCAGCTTGAAAGATTGATGATTCGGCATGTTTAAAGGTACGAGGAGTATGTATGTATATGTGGGAATGAATCATGACCTCTCCGGTTGACTTTCAATGTCATTCCCAGTTAAGAAGAAATAGTACAGTAGATATATATGTTATATAACGTAAACCAATGCTTTTTTGGACACTAATTTCTGTAGACGTAAAAACTCTTGGAGAAAAAAGTTATTTTCTTTTTTGTTGATATTTTTGGGATCGGCTAATGCAGGGACTAAAGGCTTTGGACGAATTTAATATTGCTGTTATACTATCGGCAATTATAGTGTCGGTTACTATTTGTTAATGTACGGTATATATCAGCAGGCAAAAAATGGACTTAGAGTTGCTGCTGAGCAATGTCAGCTTTTGCAAACTTGGATACCAGAACCAAAATCAAAATGTAACCCTTGAGACTATGCAATATATACGACCGGTTTTGGTATATTCAAAAGAGAATAACTCTTACATCCTCACTTTCAATAACCAGTCGAGCCCAGCGCACCATAGAACGTAACAGCTGAAGAGTAAAGTAGAGTACAGGTCAGGTAATTGCATGAAACATGGACGAATATGGTTCACTCACTTTTACCAATCAAGAGAAACGTCTCGGGGGCGTGAACTACTGGGTGATATCATAAAACAGCAAATGTCTTGAAACTCATCTTTAAGGATTGATGGAGAGTGAAGTCTATAATCGTCAGAGTCGTACGGATCTGCTCGTCTGGTTATAACGATCAACACCCATGAATCGACATTCCATTAGCTGCAGACAACTGATGACCGATGCGGTGAGTGAAGAGACTTGTGCCATAGTGCAGACAGCCAAAGCAGATCAAGTTGTTCTAACGAGAACAGGTTCAGTAGTAAGCAAAGGCAATCGGTCTACGTCAAAGAACGTCGGAACAGAAGAATTTGGCGGATGGCTTAGGATCGAAATGGATGTATGGATGCAGCAGGTTAGATCTAGGGTGACTCGATAATTATGCTTATAGCTAACTTCAAATAAGTAAGTATTTCACATCATAACAACAAGAACAACAATAAAGACAACAAAGAACCGTAAAAAAACAAGCGAGCACTGAAGTGAGCTGGAAGGACAGCGAAGGTGTCAACCCTCACAGTACTTCGTTACATAGAGGAATGAAGGAAAAGCAAAGTAAGGGACGGGTATAGGAGTCAAACAAATTTTCGCAAAATCAGACGGGTTTCAATGTTTCATTCCTTCCCTACAATTCCCCTTCTTCCTATCCATCCTATCCATCCCCATATATATATTTATATGCATATATATTTACATAAATTTATATATTTATACAGTTGTGAGGCATCCGGTTTGGGATATACCTGTCACTGAGACCAGCCACAGGACGTCTGCGCCTACAGAGGACCATGGGTGGCTTGCGCTGCACCACCCACAGCTCCAACCACACACCCCATATCCAGTGTAAACCCGAAGGAATAAGACCGGGAGGCATGTGGATGGGAACCACGTTTCATCAACGGAGCCGGCCCACACTCCTTCACAGGCAAGCACAAGCACGCTGCATTTGGGAGTCAGCCGCACACAAGTCGGTGGCTGGACCGTAGTCCGCTCCACATTGAATGCATGGAACCACTCATCGAGCGTAGCACGACCCCAAGGCAAATGCACGCCGTCCCCTCCAGCAACAACCAACTGTCTCCTGGAGCCAGTATGGACGAGGTAGTGGGTAATAGACAGGTAGGCACCTTGTCAACATGCACATCAAGCGCAGCCACACCGCGGAGATCAAGCAACAGCCAAGCACTTGAAGTGACTATATAAATCGAATAATGCATACAGATACGCCAACATAGCTCTTTAATAAATGAGCATATAAAATAAATTGGTTAGCCAAAATAATCCGCTTTAGTTTCAAGACGTCAAAAAATATATTTTAAGAAAATGCCACAAACGCGAAAATGTTATCAAAGTTAACTACAATTAACTTGAGCGACGTGTGCAAGTTAACAGAAAATAGTTCACGTAAGCAATTATGAGACAATATAGCAAGTCCACCACCGGAGATAAAGAGACCCAACATGCAAGCAAGCGGTTAGTTAATCCAACGCAGCGTACCTACAAACGCTGCGCTGGTTCTGGCTACGTTCCCTGCAGGACCCGTCGTCGCTTCCGAGGTAACCCCGAGTGGCCTCGCTAATGGCTCACTGAACTTGCCTGACTCAGGCACTCGTGACCGCATGTGCTACAGCACCATGCGCTCGATGTCGACGGAGTACAACCCAGCGGCGCCTGCCGCTTCCGCACTTGCCGCTTCTTCTCCGCATGCATGAGGCCATTCTGAGTACTGAATACTGTATTATAGAGCAAGTAGAAATGAATTTTGTACAACTCTTTGGAAATATGGTGAAAAACGTTATAAAAGTTGTCAACCGTGAATCTCGTTGTCGTTCTCATGTAATATTTAAAATATCTGACTTACGATATTTCAGGATTCACAAATGTGATATGTCATCGTAAGTGTGCAGTCGCTCTTTGAATCGAATAGTGGCAAAATACAAATCTAACAACGTTTTGAACTGTTGTACAGATGTTGCCTCAATCATATGTTTAGATAAACTGTTCCAAATGTTTACCATTCTCCGTTCGAAGCACAGTGGGTGGGAAACACATTTCACATCCGGCACGACAAGTTTGTATCTGTGTCCGCGTGTGCTGCATGGCCCTCGTAAGTGCAGCATTGGCCTTAGCATTGGGAAGTCACTGAGATGTAGAATACGGTAGGTCATAATGAGGTCGACTAGCAACCGACGGTAGGACAAGGTGTAGAGTCCTAGTTTTTCGCACCGGTCTTCATACCCAAAGCCACGTAAACTCGGGCTCAGCCTGGTAGCAACATGTTGGACCCGTTCGATCTTTTTTACCTCGCCTCGGGTAATCGGAAAGTAGGTGGGCGAACCGTACTCTAGCATTGGTCTAATGATAGAAGAGAAGAGGCGAGTGGCAACCTCTTCAGGCCATGTACCGAAGCTACGTTTGAGCGCCCAAAGCATGCGCAGTCCGTTACGATATAGCCTGTTCGTGTTGTCCACGGACTTCAAATCGTAGTGTGAGAGTACACCTAGGTCTTTCACGGAGGGTGTGGGATATAGCGTTTGGCCGTCAAGGGTGTAGGTTCGGCCGTTAGAACCCTTCCCCAGGCTCATAAATACAGACTTTGCTGGGTTGACCGGGAGAAGAACTTCTGCAGACCATGTGGATAGGCGGTTTAGGTCTTGCTGAAGTAGGCCAAAGTCATCGGGAGCGTCGATTTCTCTCCAAATCTTCATGTCGTCCGCTAACAAGGCACACAGCGACCGGAGAAGCTGCGGTAGATCGTTGATGTGGATCATGAACAGAGTGGGCCCCAGCACAGTGCCTTGAGGCACGCCACTTATAGAGGGATACCAGTCAGTTAGATGGTCGTCGACCTGTACCCTCCACTTTCGTCCAACAAGAAAGTCGCGGATCCACCGGTTCAGTGAGCCACCGACACCACACATGCTGAGTTTGTGAAGGAGAACCTCATGACTGACCTTGTCGAACGCTTTACTGAAATCGATGAATATCACGTCGACGGACTTCCCTTTGCTTATTGCCTTCAATCACTCATGCCTCGTCACAAGCAGGTTCGTAATGCATGAGCGACCTTGCATAAAACCGTGCTGTGCGGGCGTCAGGACCTCGTTTGACTGTAGCAACTGCAGCAATCCCTTCTTCACGATTTTCTCAGCAACCTTTGCCAAAATAGGTGTCAGACAAATTGGCCTGTAGTTGTCTATTTTGCTAGGGTCGCCGCAATTCGGAATAGGCTTCACCACCGAACATTTCCAGTCAACCGGCAACAAACCTTCGGACAGCGACCTGTTGAAAAGGTCAGTCACGACAGGAGAGAGGATGGTTGAAAGTGACTTGAGAACCAGTGGGTGAAGCCCATCAGGTCCGGCAGGTTTGGTGCCGTCAAGGTTGGCGAGTAGTTGAGCTACCTCTTCAACGCCGCAATGCAGACTATCGAGTTCGGTAAAAGCGGTACACGTCGAACTCGGAACAGACACCTGGTTATTCGCAAACACAGAAGCGAAGTGCGCCGCCAACGCGGACGCACGCTCAGTGCTGGAGGTTAGGGGCTGTCCATCCGGGCCATCCAGCACTGGCACATCACCTGCCGGCTTCAGGCGTCGCTTCACGTATGCAAAGATTCTCTTGGGGCGGTCTTCGCGGCTAATGCGAGCTGCTCTTCGAAATCTCGGCGTTTATTCCTTTTTGCACTGTTGCAGAGGTTCCGCTGACTTTTATATCCTTCGTAATCATTGGCAGAGCCAGAGAGGAGGAATTTGTCCCACAGTCTGCGCCGCCTCCGAGCCAGGTTTCCATACTCCTTGTCAAACCAATGAGGCTTAATCGGTCCAAACTTCTGACATTTCAATGGCACAAATTGGGAACACTGATGTCAATCTCCCTTTTATGAATATCCAACAATCTTCCACAGGTGCAGCATGTGACAGAGAACAATCCAGTTGGCTCGCGGCTCGAGCTAGACCATCAGAGTCCGTTTTCCAGTAGTTGTGAGCTGGTTCCAGCGGACGTGAATACGGCAAAGATAATTCCATATCAGCTATGAGCACTGAATGGTCGCTTGTAGCCAGGGGCTCCAGGATCCTAACGTCACGCACTCGTTGTTCCTAGCTCGTTAACATCAGGTCGAGACAGGGCGGGGTTGAACGTGTTGTTATGCGTGTTGGCTGGTATGTCTTGCGATGCACCAGTTTCAAGTACCAAATCCACGAACTTTGCTTCAACCTCACTATGTGCAGGCATCAAATGCACATCAGACCATCGTATTCGAGGACAGTTAAAATCGCCCATAAGTAGAAAGTGTGGACGACTCATGTGGGTCCGAAGAATGGGCAGCCAATCCAAACAACGACTCAGGGGGCTGCGACAAACTGCGCCCACAAGCAGTTCTCCGCGCCTGAGGCGGATGGAGCACCACAGTAGTTCACACAAACCATCGTCACTTCGGTAGGTGCTCACAAGTCCCACGCAGGGAAGACCGGATGTAAAGTAAGACACCACCGTGGACATTCTTTAGTCTATCACATCGGAAGCACGAGTAACCGTTGAGTTCAAGTTCTTGGGTGTATAACTCTGCATACAGCCATGTCTCTGCGAGTCCCACTACGTCTGGCCGCTCAGACGCAACGAAACAACAAAGCTCATCGCGCTTGTTCATAACACTGCAAACGTTTGTGAAGGCTACTCGCAGACCGCAGCAGGAGCCGCCGGACGTGCTTGAAGTGTGAGCAGTCTGTTTATCCTGATTCGCAGATTGTTGGAAATCATCCGAAAATTTACGATACGAAGATTTGTTTCCCCCTCACCAGTGCGTGTTTTCAGCTCAATGATGGCAGACTTGAGCCGCTCCCTGTCTACTGGGTCCGGGTCTGGACGAATATGGATCTTCAAACCTTTCAGCCTACTTAGGCGGGACATGATCA